TGTGTGTGTGTGTGTGTGTGTGTGTGAATGCGAATGCATGTAAGCGAGAATAGCAGAAGAGCACGGCAGAGTGCAGCCAGGGCCATTTTGTGCAGAGTCGGCTCTTCCTGTAGGCCCCAGCTGGGGCTAGGCCTCTGATTCAAAGGTTGTGTGAGTGTGTGTTTGTGTGCATGCATGGTGTGTGTGGGACAAGCACAGCTGCTGCAGGGGCCTTTACAAATGTAAAGAGGCTGTCAGTGTTTGTTTCATCAGGCGCACAACTGATGAGGGCCAAGTTGAAAATCCATTGCACTGCGAGTGTGTGCGTTGAGCATGCACAAAAAGAGGAAACAAAAACAGAGAGTGGGGGCAGAACGGGGAGTGCAAAAGCACAGACTCTCCCCCTCCACTCCTCCTTTTTCCTCTCTTTATCTCCCTCTCTCTCCCCCGTCTCTCTGTCTCGCTCTCTCGTTCTTGGGCTGTCCAAATGAAATGTGGGCCTCATGTAGGACCATGAAGAGAGGGTCACAGGGTTGTTTTTTCATCGTGCCTGGGCGTCAATGCGCTTCATTTAACCTTATGTTTCAATGCAAATTCGTCTTTCATAAGCTCCCCTCTCCTCACGTGTGCAACATGGCAGGGTTCACTTTTCAACCTCCCCGTCACTATGGCTACCAGGGCAAACCAAAGTGTACTGTGGCAAAAGCTCTGTTTTACTGCCTGTTTATTTGACTACGTCCATTACAGTTATGTTCCACGTGGCACCAGTGAAAGACACCATGGTAAAAGATAAAGTGCTTGTTTCTCAGTGAGAGTTTTTCCATGAATCCTCATGCAAAGTTTAAGGTGATGAGTGTATTTCAGGTTTTGAGAGACGCAGGATGAAGCGAGACAACAGGTTTTAATTTGAAAGAAACATCAGCCAGCTTCGTTGTTTTTATTTTACATTTCAATTGGTGGGGGGGGAATCAAAGCAGAGCTACTTTGATTATGTTGCCAAACTGTATCGGTGAGTAACTGCCAAGAACATAAAAAGTCCTCATGAAGATTGCCAGCAGTTGAAACACAATGGAGCCGTTTCTGTGTCACACATACTGCAGAGAAAACATACTTAGTCCACACAGTGTGAAGTATAGTAACACACATAAGCAGATGTGTTCTGCTGCCTTACATCTCAAAGTACTGAAATTTGCCTAAGTAATTAATGATTGCCAGGCCTCAGTTAACGTCCCGACCTCACTGTTGTGTTAAAGCACGGAGGAAGCCGTCCTTCCCACGCTGCAGGCACAACCTCACGTCCCCCCGGCCTCATCTCTCCTCTCTCTGGGCCTGCCCACTTGACAAGCACTGCCTCTGCGAGCCCAGCTTCTTTTTAATTCAGCCGTATTTATGTATTTATTAAGTGCTCAAAGGATGAGATGGGAAAGCTCTTTTTTCCTAAATAATGTCTGCTTTGCCAACAGAAAGTTTACTGCATCATTACAAGCACTCTGAGAGCTGCCTGTTGCAATTTGGAACGCCGATGGATGTTCAGCGGCCAAATGCATCAGCGCGCAGCTTCTTTTTTCCCCTTATGACGTGAATACAGACTCTCTCCATGTTTACCCTTTACCGTCTCTGCCTCGCTGTTCTTCTCCAGAATTATGTCACATACATGCCACAAATTCCCTGTTATGCAATATGACCTTTTCCTTTATCAGCTGTTGGCACTGAGAAACCATCTCCGGCATTTTGCTGGCCCCAGCGCACGCTCACACACGGAGGCAAAGGTCTCTAGGTGTATACTTGCCGTCAGCAGGTGAGATAAACCGGTTTAAAGTCCAACCTCTTGAGC